TGTTGCTGGTGTTGCGACGTCAAGTTTCTGGGCGAGATTGCCCCATCCGAAGCTGGCCTGAGTGGCGCGAGGGCCATGAGTGCGTGAGGGCTGTGAGGGCCGCGAGGGCGGTGAGTGCGTGAGGGGCGTGAGGGCGATGAGTGGCGTGAGGGCCATGAGTGCGTGAGGGGCGTGAGTGGCGTGAGCGCGGTGAGTGGCGTGAGGGCTATGAGTGCGTGAGGGCCGTGAGGGCGGTGAGGGAGTGAGGGCCGTGAGGGCGGTGAGAGGCGTGAGGGCGGAGAGTGGCGTGAGGGCGGTGAGTGGCGTGAGGGCTATGAGTGCGTGAGGGCCGTGAGGGCGGTGAAGGGCGTGAGGGCCATGAGTGAGTGAAGGGTGTGGGGGCGTTGAGTGGCGTGAGGGCCATGAGTGCGTGAGGGGCGTGAGGGCCGTGAGGGTGGTGAGGGGTGTGAGGGCCGTGAGGGCGGTGAGGGAGTGAGGGCCGTGAGGGCGGTGAGAGGCGTGAGGGCGGAGAGTGGCGTGAGGGCGGTGAGTGGCGTGAGGGCTATGAGTGCGTGAGGGCCGTGAGTGCGGTGAAGGGCGTGAGGGCCATGAGTGAGTGAAGGGTGTTGGGGCGTTGAGTGTCGTGAGGGCCATGAGTGCGTGAGGGGCGTGAGGGCCATGAGGGGTGTGAGGGCCGTGAGGGCGGTGAGTGCGTGAGGGGCGTGAGGGCCATGAGTGTGTGAGGGCCGTGAGGTTCAGTGAGGGTGAGTGAAGGGCTGAAGGTGAGTGTGACTGTGAGGATGAGGGTGAGTGAGGGGTTGAAGGTGTGTGTAGCTGTGAGGGTGAGGGTGAGTGAGGGGCTTAGGTGAGTGTGGCTGTGAGGGTGAGGGTGAGTGAGGGCGACCTAAATTTCCGACCTCTGGTGGAGCCCTCCAATCAAAGGATAGCCTCGAACAGAGGGTGTGCGATGACGAGTAGCCGAGCGCCCGCCGTCGTCTGCTGAAGTCGGGGGGGGGGGGGGAGCACGTGGACGCATTTAGTGGTTTGGCGGGTGAACAAACACACGTGCGCTCTAAGGAAAAAAATGGAGGAAAGAGGTAGCAACGACGCGTTTTACCCCCTTCTACTGACGTGCCAGTTCCACCAAGCAGACACGAGAAGGAGGGAGGGAGGAACGAGAAGTTTTTCTTCTGCCCCACGCAGCAAAGGCCGCCTGCAGAATCCGAAATTAAGACATCTGTCGAGAAATTAAATCCAAAATAAAGGTTAGTTTCGGTTTCACTCCAGAATTAAAACGCGCATCCTTCCGTAATTAATACGCTAAACACCGTTCTTGTTTTCAGGTTAAAGAGGTGACCTACGCTCATAAAATATTAGCTTCCTCGTATTACCAGAAATAATTTATGTCGCTCAGTGAAGCCAGCACAATAGACAGGCTCAACAGCGGAACGGGTCTCTGACCCCCACTAAACCCGCCATCTTGGAAAATGAGTGGCGCCACCTATAGTTAGTTGGAGTCGCGAATAGCCGTACAGAGCAGCTGCCGCAAATCGCGGCTTTGACAGCATTCGTGTTTGCCGAAATACGATTTCGCTTCCCGTGATGTACCGTTTCCTGCTGAGTGAATACCTCATTTACAGAGGTCAATTAGAGACCATTGAAGCCGCACATGAACAGCGTAAAAACAAAAGCAAACACTACGATAAAAAAAACTGGCGTTCCCCGCGTCAATCTACGACGTGCTTTGCGGAAAAGGGATCACATGGCTGCTATAAACCGCAGTTGAGCGGAATGTTTTATCGGCTGTCGCGAATAATTACGGCATGGACGTTTACTTTTTACTAAGAGATTAATCCCTTGGGCTTTTGAAAATACCATCCATTAAATGACGTTACTGAGAAGTCAACATACGGGGACTACTATTTATTGCTTAGTTGATCATCGATAAAATTCGTACCGTCAAAACGACGGGTTTAAAAGGCGGAAGCGCAGAGCTCGGAATTAATAATAATTCGGGTCGTGGGGATATTTAGACAGCGTATGGTTGGTCAGCCATTTCAAAGTTGCGACGAGTCACTCGCTGTATATGAGCTATTAGGCCAGTGGGGTTCAACCGCTAGCCTGGGGTCTTTAACGTGCACCACGCGGTAGTGGTACACGACCACACGCCGGTGCGATGCTCATCCAGTTCGAAACGGGCAGGGGTGGGGATTGAGCTCAGGATCCCCATGGGTTCTGTAGGGCGAGCTTTCACTCCACGTGCTTCGAGCTACTCGGTACAGTGTTCCACTCGGCCTACTTGGTACAGTGTTCCACTCGGCCACCGATCCCTCCTAGCTCGGGATAGACCGATCTCACCAAGCTTTTCGCACATGCGTGAGCCAGCCATAAGTTTAGTTCAGAGGGGGCAGGCAGGAGTGCACGAGGCGGCTTCTGCCGTTCCGTGCTCCACACGCGCAGTGCGAGATTGTCGCACGCGCAGAACGACTAAAGTTCCCTCGATGCATTGCGGCAGCGGTGGCGTAGTCAAACTTGCTGGTGAGATCGGTAAATTGATGATCGGTGTAGTGTACGTTCATGTAGTGAGACCTTTATTTTTGGGGGGATCGGTGGCCGAGTGGTCTAGCGCACACCAGCTCGGAGCACGTGGGGCGAAAGCTCGCGCTGCAGGACCCAGGCATCCTGGGTTCGAGCCCTACCCCTGCCCGTTTGGATCTGGATGAGCATCGTACCGGCGTGCGGTCGTGTATCACTACTGCGTGGTGCACGTTAAAGACCCCAGGCTAGCGGCTGGTACCGCACTGGCTAAATTTCTCATCTACAGCTGGGAGACTCGTCGCCCCTGTGAGGCAGACCAAGTTCTAGGCTGTATAAACACACACACAACCCAATTATTATTATTTCATGTAGATATGGTGCTCTGTATTTGTATGCGCTTGTTATATGTGGTGCTCTGCTGATGCTATCATGTGTTGCGGTACGCGTAATGTATGCCCATATGTGTAAAATAAAAATGTCCGAAGCGCAATGATGGAGCGATCAAGGTAATAGTTTTTGTAGACTATGAATCGGGTGGTACCTAGCGCCACCTATCCTATATTACTCTGCTTGGTCCTGCCATCTGGTGGCGAGCGACTTAACCTTCTTTCGCGCTTCGCGATACGTATTTTCTGGTTACCGTGCAACAACGAACCTAGTAGGCTGCTTCGAATTATCTCTTTTGAGAGCTGCTTTTGGTTTTGCGAAGGCTTTGCCCCTCCTTCGTGACGCTCGCGGAATAAAAACATTAGTTTCGGTTGTCTCCGTTTAATATCGCAGCGTTGACAACGGTAAATGTGAGTGACTGCGCATGATTGGGTTCAAAGCGCAAGTTTCATTACCTGCACGGGAAGCTGGCTTCAAGAATAGATGCAATTCGTGAAGAGGTCGTGTTTTGTTTCTATTGGCTGCTCTTCTCGCCCCGAAAACAGTTATTTGTGATATGCGCTTGAAGCAGTTTACTGTTTCTCGTGCGATAGCTCGTTTCAGACACGCCTACGCTGCAGGCACTGGGGGGCCGCCAGTAGTCCCGGGTATTTGCCTGTTCGAAAACCATGCCAACTATTTTCGGTTGAATCGCGGCAGCGTTCTTTTGTATAAGACCGACAATATATATGTAGCATCCTCGTAAAGCCCTATTGAGCTCAATTCACTCAATTAGGGGGCGCAAAAATGAGATGGAGACAAGGGAGGAACTTTGCTCCCTGCTTTCAGGGACGAAATTTTCTCCCCTTCTAAAGGAACACAAGCCGCGTTTACAAAAATGCGACTTAGTCGCATCGAATCCAGTTGTCGCATTCAATGTGGTCATGTAAACGGCATAATGCGCAAAGAAAGCGCATAGCATTCAAGTCGCTAGACAGAGGTGGATCGAGATTGCGAGTGCGCATTCATTCAGCCCATGTAAACGGAGGTCGCATCTCATTTTAGAACGGGAATGATTATGGGAAGGCGCTCACTGCGGGAGCGAGTGAGCAGCTGAGAACATGGCGGCGGTCAACCTCGTCGGCGGCGTGGAGAGCGGTCCCGTATGGTCGCCCGCAATTTTTTCCCGAGAACAAACGCGAGCTTTTATTGCCATCATACGTAAGCGGAATATAGCGTAGGTGCTCGGTGAGGGCGGCCGCCGTCCAAGCCTTGCGAAGTACGACTTGCGCGTCCCAAGGGGTCCCAAAGGCTTCGGCGCAAGCACGAACAACACCGAGAGCTCCGAGCACTGTAAAGCACTGCATGGTAGCGCAGAACGGGCAGCTTCTACCTCGGTGCCGTTCCTGGCTGCGTAGAAGCCTTTCGGACTCGGGGTCCGGTTGGTCCGGTCGCGATCGGCGAGGTCTGGCGCGGCGAAGCACGAAGGCGTGCTCAAAGCGTGCGCACACACGTCGCCTCTGGTCCAGGTTGACCCGGCGGCCCGGCGTGGAGCCCTAAACCCTTGGGTTTTAATGTTTCTTCCGTCTCGTAACTTCTTCCACGGCACCGAAGACAGCGGGTACGATCTTTACATTCACTGAATACGTCGAAAGACCTCCACGTGCGATGCGCCGGAAAACGTGGTGCGGCTGGTGCCGGAAGTGCATAACTTCGAGCTTTGACACGGTGTGGCGCCACCTTCGTGTAGGGCTTGGTGTGCAGTCATGTAAACATTGCCGCGTCGGCTTCGTTCGAAGAACGAGTGGGGTCGATGCGCTGAAGTCGCTTTCATGGAAACAATGCTATACGTTACATGTTTGGTCTTCCCTTACTGGAGGAATGTATGGACCCTTTTTTTCTAAGGGTCTGGCGCGCTTGGAGAAGACAAACTTTTGCGCCGTATACTCAAGAAAACAAATCAAAGAACGAGGATGGCTTGTTGGCGCTAACTTCATCAAAAGCTCTATGCACGGTGAACGGAAACACCGTCAACGGTAGCGCGATTGCGTTCGAGCCGAAGAAAACGACGTTGTTTGTCGCCTGTGACGCTTTCGGAAACTGCACTGCTTTGTCACCTGTTGGCGCGCCTCGTCGGCCACGGAGTCTAGGAAGGCGGGAGTGGCCGGGTACAGTGCGTCAGCGAACATAAAGTCCTGCCAGACGAGGATGCCCCGGCGGTCGGCCATCGAGTAGAAGAGGTCCGACTCGTACACGCCGCCGCCCCAGACGCGCAGCATGTTCATCCGGGCAGACACCACGTCGTCCAGAAGCTGCGCCAGACGCTCGGGGGTGACGCGGTCTTGAAAGGCGTCCGCGGGCACCCAGTTGCTGCCTTTGGCGAACAAGGGCACGCTGTTGACCCGCAGGAAGAACGTCGCCCCTGCGAACAGCGTGCCCTAGGAATGTATCTGGGCATACATTTCGCTGATCACACTGTCATGGAGCGAGCACATCCAACATACAAGACATAGGCTGCAAACGACATGCCATGTTATCTAATGATATTCCCAGGTATAGCATGTCAAAAAAACACCCAACTTGACAAAAGCTCGGCAATCGTGGGGGCAAGCTTGAGCTTATAATACAGATTTGCTCCAAGGCGTTATTAGTTTGTGTCCGAGTACTTTTCCTTCCGCGTTTGCGCGGTTTTTCTCTGGTTCATCGCATGGTTGGCGAAGTGCCATATTTAACCAAAAATGCTGCCAGATACGAAACGAAGAACCAGCAGTGAAGCCCAAATCTGGCATTTGTTTCTCAAGTTAGGCCCAAAGTTGCCACATGCAAACCGAACAATCAGAAGTGAAGCCTATAATTTCAACTCATCAAATAAACATTGAATTGAAGCCTATAGTACTGTCCCTTGTTTGGCGACTTGGGCTCAAACATGCCAGACGACGGCCGAAACTACTAGCAGTGCTTTGGCACTTGTTTGGCAAATTAAGGCCGGGATACCCGGACTGTGGGCAAAAAAGGTAATCTCTGGCTCTACCTTCTTGGCTTCTAGCTTTTCAAGGCCATAAATTGCCAGTGAAAAACTATATTTGACCAAAAGAACTATGGTACCTATGGTTCATGACATATCGTGACATCGTGATATATCATGATGATATATCGTGATATGCCATGATATATCACGACTTCACGTGACGTCTTAACATCACGTCTTTTCTTGTAATTTTGGTGGTGGCCAGCGAGCTTCAAATTGCAGCCGTATTATATCTCTAACGAGTGAGAACGCAGTTATTCGTACCAATCGTACATTTGAGTATCCCACATTTTCTGTACCTCTCTAGATATGTGACTACTACGGCGTAATCTTTTTTTTTTTTTTTGTATTTTGTGCGATGCAAATTATCTTTTTGGCACAATTAAGTACATTTAATGTACACTGGTGGCAGACTTCACTTAAGCAAGAAGGATATACATTTAAAGGGTCCATTAAACGCTTTTTCAACTTCTTCCTCCTTAGCATTATTCCTCAACTCAAAAGCGAATTCAGAAATCTCGTGGACGTGGCATGCTTGGGCACCGGTGCGATGACTTCAAGCTTTCACCGTGATTTTTAAGCACATGAAGAAACTTTTCATTTCCAAATGATGATAAGTTCCTCCATGACACTCATTGGCAACAAACGAGAATTCAGATATTCGTCGGAGGTCTGATTGTTGACGAGCGCATACGTCCGAGTGACGCAGTGCTCGTGTCCAGTGCGTTAGCCGGGATCGGCTGACGCGCTTTGGGAACCGCGGATGTATCATAGTGAAAAGGCGGAGAGCTTTCGAAGGAAAGAAGGTACGAAATAGTCCGCAGTATTTTAAGGTGTTCATGCCGAAAAGCCGGCTTTTCACTTCCTGTCCTCTTTCTTTTGTCCCACTAAATGATATGCGATTAGTAAAATCCCAATATATAGTATCATTTATCCAAGCTGAAAATTAATTTCATGGCCCCTCTTAAGGCTGCCTCAAATACATTAAAACACACTTTTTTTTTGTAATCATGAAGTAGACTTTCACTAAACTTTAAATGCACATTTTGTTTTTGTTTGTATGTTCTGACTCGGCTGAGCTCCGACACAGTCATGCTGCTACTAAGGTTATAGTTGACACGTAACTTCCGCGGCAGAGTACGGTGGCAGCGAAATTGATGGATTCCGCAGGTATTACCCAACCTGCGTAATTGATGAACATACCAAGGAAGAGCCCCCGCAGAGAGCTCGAACGTTTGTAAGCCTCAGACTCCTCCTAAATTTCACGCCATTTCAGCTTACCTTCGCAGCCCTGCCGCCCGATACAGAAATAATTGAACTAATTTTGGTTGCCTAAATACAGAATGTTGGCCGAGAAATATCAACGATGTGTTTTTGCCACGACAAAAATTTTACGACGATTTGCCTGAAGCTGAGGTTCTTCCGAAACGTAATGACAGCTGTTGGGATTTGAGATTCCTAAGTTTTAGTATCGAACCTATGATTCAATATAGTGGAAAGCAATTTTCGTATAGACTTTCTAAGGCAAAAAAAAAATGTAGTTCAGTTCTGGGTATAGGAGACGTTGTCTCTATTAATTAACAAGTTTTGATTGCCGTCACTTTCTGGCTCAGGAGTTAAAGAATAGTGCTTCTAACCTTTGCATTAAATGAAGCTGAGTTTGTAAAAAAATCGACAACTTGTCCCAGCGACCAGCGCTTTATTCGGAGAGAGTCCGTGTTTCCGACAACACGTATTACATTTTCGGGTTGCGAAAAACACGGTTAATTTTGTCGGCGGGCTCCCTGTATATATTCAATATTACACTCCAAATATATTCGAATTTCCTTTGCAAAGTATAACTCTTTATCTATAAAAACGCACAAATAATAAGCCCATAGTGAGTTTCGCCAACACTAAATTTCAGTTTTCGTAAAAAGACAGTGGTGTGCGTTTCGATAAACAATATGTAATAACCGAACGCATCATCACTTCAGCACGCAAGTTCTTTAATGTGCCGAACGCACCAGCACATATATATGCTACAGAACAGAGAATTCTGATCTTTCAGTTTCTACCTGTGCCGTTCACGAGTGGTTCTTGAACAAGGTCGATGGTCCTGAAGCCGATGCTTCTCTCCAATGTGGCCGTCTCACTGCCTCGGCTCAGTGAAATGAACAGCGGGTACAACTTGGCCTTGCCATACCCATGAGGCCACCACGTCTCGACCTGTAGGTTCTGCGCACGGAGCCAAAATCGCAAAGGTCTTGTGCGAAGACAATGCTGCGGTTTTAGTTTATATTTTAACGGCGAATCTTGCGAGCACAGTTGCGACAAACAACTGGTGGCCAAGGTACTTGTAGGTTATTTACGTTATTGTTCATCTCCACCGCGAGGTGGCTAGGCGCAATCGGCCAAACCAAAAGTAAATAGACTGGCTAGGTGCCGTAAGCCGCCGCCCGATCAAAAAGGGTTCAGCCGTACGCATCCATGATTCATCCGTCCATCTGAAACCGCTTCAAAGTGTGCGCCGGAGGCGTTCGGTTGCAGCTCACAATGATATGATTCTTAACTGCCAATAAATGAACACGTCTCGTTCAACCCAACCGCTGCACCATGCTCCATGGAGGGCAGCAGCAAAGAAAACCCATCAAGGTATACGGTAAAATATTAAATATGGAGCAATAAAAATTAGGCGCATAAAAGCCATCCAGTTTTATTGTTTTTTTCTGACTGGAGGTAACTTGTTCCAAAGACCACGCCAGAGGAGAAAGCGAGTTACTTAGAAAAAAACTGCCTTTCTTCCCGAGTCTCGAAACCGCGTACATACCTTATACCGCGCGTACCTTATAGTTTAGGTGACACGGAAAGACGACACAGAAAAACTATTTGAGAATAGTTGGTAATACCTATGGTCGGATAAGGCGTAAGTAAGCAGTCTATACACCGACCTGTTGTATATAAATAAAAGCGTTCACTCATAAAATGTGGGGTCACAGCGTATTCACAGAAAGCATTTATTTTTATTTATTTTTAAGGCAAATTATTAGCTTTTGGTTTGAAATCTTGAACTAGGCTGATTTTCTTAGCGGCCACCAGTGTGAGTCGCGCTCCATTTCACGTGAAAGTCATCGTATTTCTTATATCTTCTCCATTTTGGGGAGTTCCCCTAAAACTTTTCTATCTTCGTGAGAACGTTAACACAATTTGCCCAAGTGGTGTCTAAACAATTAATCTAGGTACCGAGAAATTAACAAAGAAACTAGTTACACTGTATACCAAGGCATACTACCTGCGGGATTCGAAGCCTAAAGCGGTAAAGCGATGTAAGATCGTTTTTCGCCGAGATCGAGATGTTCTTGTGCACGGTAAGGCGCTTGTCGAACTCCAAGTTCAGCTGGAGGATCTTTCTCCCGGAGAAGCCCAACTCCAGGAACAGCCTGACGTCGAGCACCCATCGGTTAGGCCGCGTCGTGCCTGCGATGAGAGTTTGCGCAGACGGACGGGTGGGACGAAGTGAATCAATGACAGATTGCAAAGGACAAATAGGGTCGGGCGGAGATATGAATGAGTAACCACCTTGGAAGTGCGCAGAGCGCAGAACATTGGTGGCTAGCTTCTTAGATTTGTTTACTGTAGCGTAATATGCAGCACACTTTGTACGTTTTGTTTTGTATTTTACAGCCATTGCAATTATGTAATAGAAAACTTTAAGCGCCAAAAGAAAATTATAATTAGAAAATACGTCCTCCTCTAAATTATCGCTTTTAGTGAATAGGTAGATACAGGGGTACTCAGGAATATTCGAATTAAGGTGCCTTCATGTGCACTTTGGTGAGGACACCTAAGCATTCTGTTCCAAACGCTTTATTTTTTTTTTATCTGGAGCACATGAAATAGCGTTTTGTGTAGGGCTGGGCGTCGATTAAAAGTTTTAACCCGATTAACCACCACCCTTTAATCAAATCCTTAATCGATTAATTGGTCTCGTTCATTTTCAATCAAAATAGAAAAAGTTTTTTTTTTTTGCTTTTGTTGAATTTGTGGTAAACAGGGCAATACACAATTTTCAATATGAATCAACTTTGACGTGATGTTAAGAACAGTCCAATGACATTTACACTCAAATAATATTGCTTCAGCTGCATGAGACAAGAAGGTCGTTCCTATTCTCCCTCAAAAACGACCTCCTTTGATTGTTCCCAATAGTCTCTGCGGACTCGCAGAGACTATTGGAAACTCGCACGTCATTGAAGCGGCCGGGACACGCCCACTTGT